GGAAAATCGGGGGGAGCTTTCTCGTCATTTTTTCAAATGAGAGCGCTGGTCACTCACTGTCCAGAGGAGTCGAGCGAGGGACTGGGCCGGGCCCAGACGCCCAGCAGTTAAGCCACACCCGCCCTCGGGACGTTCTGTGACGGAGTGCCCTTTGTGACCGCAGCTTTGGGCCTCGGGAGGAGGCGCCGTCACTCCGGGAAAGGGTCCCCGTTTCCGGGTGGAAGAGCAATCGTGGGAAACAGAAGAGAAGAACCAATAGAGCTGTTGAGAGAACCGTAATAGAGTATACCATAAACTTAGGTTAAGAGCATGCTATATCCCGATAAATATGTCATCGGCTTGTGGACAATAGCACAGCCATTTTAGTTTTCTGCTTTAAAGCATAACCTGTAGCTGTTTAAAGTTTCAGTGATGGGGAAAACACTGCAAAGCTCCAGTTCAAGCTTCAACCCCTTCCCTTGACCCACTTTCCCCTGAGCAACAACCAATCAGGTGCCAGGGGACAATCACCTAAAGTTTCCAAATGTCTCTGCAACATCCCCAGCTAGTGGGCCAAGGTCAGCCCGAGTCAAGCTAGCCAATCCTCCACGATTGAGCTGACAACCAGAGGTTACTACCCAATTAGATGGTAACAGGACTGGAAAGTCCCCCCAAACTCCTCCTCCCTTTGTGTAAAAGCATAAAAGGCATCTGCTTAAGGAAGTCAGGGCCTCTGGGTATACTCCGCTGTGTCGGTTGTCGACAGGGGTCCAGGATCGAGCTTGCAAATTAAGGCCCTGTTGAACTTTCATCGGAATTGTCTCTTGGTGGTCTCTCGGATTGAACTTTCGGCCACTACACTGTCATATAAGTCCCTATTTTTGGGATACCATGGAGTTTTGTCCCTCGTGGGCGAAGATTGGTCAAAGGGTAAGAGAGAGTTAGGGCATTGGGGCCTAGGAGAGTGATGCTGAAGCAAGAAAATTGGGGAAATGGGAGAGAGTCAGTGCCCAGTCTCTTTGGCTGACTTCACTGTCCAAAGCCCTTTGGCATCATTGACATCACTGATAAATGCACGTGATCAGAGAAGAAATGTTATGCGTACTTTACCAGCGAAGGCATGACCATAGGCAGGCAGTGGGTGACCAGTGGGACTAGAACTTGGGGGAGGGGGCGGTGGGACACAGGTAGGAGGGAGGACAAAATGGCCCCAATGCTGGCCAACAGCATCACCTCCTCCTGTCCTTCTGGAAAGGATCCTGTAGGGGTGCATCTGAGCAGAACTGAAGTTTGGTAGCTCACTCTTGGTCCTTGTGTCCCTTGCTTCATTGCCTTACTTTGACCTGGAACCAGAAACATGTGGTCAGAGCTGGCAGGATGACTGTCCATTCCTGAGTGCCCGGTGACTGGATCTGGACTTTCTTGCTCACTGCCTGAGACACCTAACTCCATGTCAGATGAGTAAGGAGGCGACTGCACTCTCGTTTCTTTTGTCTAATGTGGCAACCCTTTTTGCTAAACATTCCTGTGTTGTCTGCTCCCCTCTTCTCTCCAGTATTTTTTTTTTTTTGAGTTGGAGTCTCACTGTCACCCAGACTGGAGTGCAATGACTGCTCCCAGCCACTGCAGCCTCGACCTGCTGGGCTCCGGGGATCCTTCCGCCTCAGCCTTCCGAGTAGCTGGAATTACAGGCATGCGCTAACATGCCCAGCTGATTTTTTGATTTATTGTAGAAATGAGGTCTCGCCAAGTTGCCCAGGCGGGTCTCGAGCCCATGGGCTCAGGCAATCCACTCACCTCAGCCTCCCAAAGTGCGGGATTACAGGCTGAGCTCTCTCCAGTGTTTTTATCACCATAAGCTTCGGATTTTTCTCCCTTGGCCCGACACCCTTCTCCTTTTCTTTTTCTTTTAATTTAAGCTTTTATCTTTTGACAGGATCTCCTTCTGTTGCTGGAGTGCAGAGGTGCGATCACAGCTCACTGCGCATTGAACTCTTGGGCTCAAGTGATCCTGCAGTCTCAACCTCCTACCTAGCTGGGACTACCACACCCAGCTAGATTTTTTATTTTTGTAGAGATGGGGTCTCGCTGTGCTGCCCAGGCTAGTCTCAAAATCCTGGGCTCAAGCAGTCCTTTTGCTCGGTTTCCCAAAGAGCTGGGACTACAGGTATGAACTACCACACCTAGCCTACCCTTTTCCTCTCGTAGTTGACAAAACTTTCAGTTTTTAAAAAAACTCTCTGAAAGTTCAGCTACATGATTAGCAAACTTCCCTGATTCCTTAGACTGCTTCTTTAGTGACAGTTCCTTGTGACTCCTGGCTTTAACAACAACATGGACTTCTCTTGAGGACATGTTTTCTCTTTGTATCTCAAGCAGAGATGACTCATTCTCTCAAGCTCCAAAGTACTTGTGGTGAGAATGTGGGATATAGGTTCCCTTTGCTCTTTCCAATTCCTTTCAAACCATTATCCCTCTCTTTCTATTAGAAAATCTCTTGCTCCTTACAAGCTTATGCTACACACAACCATTTCTCTGCCTTGTCCTTTCAGATCTGGATACTCTCTTTTCCTCTGAAAACTTTGACACCTGTCTCAAAGTCTTATTCTTGAGACCATGAAGCTGAGTGAGTTCAGTGTCCATTTAGATGGCCTGATTCCATTCTCTGGCTTCTCCATTTTGGAGTTTCTTTTTTGACGCATAAGAAATTCTGTATTTTGTAAAAGTTTTGTTTTTAATTGACCCATAGGAATTGCACATTTTTATAGGGCATAACATGAGGTTTTGATACTTGTATACTTTGTGTAATGATCAAATCAGGGTATTTCGCGTATCCATCACCTTATACATTTTCTTGGAGTGAGATCATCAAAAGCCTCTCTTAGATATTTTGAAATATGCAATACAATATTGTTAAATGTAGTCACTCTAATGTGCACCAGAACTCCAAAATGTATTCTTCCTGCTTAACTAATTTTGTGCTTGTCCTTCTTCGGTCCTCATCTCTGGTAACCATTATTCTTCCTGCACTTCTATGAGATCAACAGTTTTACAGTCCACAAGTGAATGAGATCATTTGATTTTGTCTTTTTGTGTCCGGCTTATTTCACTTAACATAACGTCCTCTAGGTTCCTCCGTGTTGCTGCAAGTGACAGGGTTTCATGCTTTTTTAGATTAAATATTATTTCATTGTGTATATATACTACATTTTTTAAATCCATTCATTCACTGATGGACACTTAGGATTATTACATATTTGGCTATTGTGAATAGTGCTGCAATAAACATGGGAGCGCGGATATCCCTTTGACATACTCATTTTCTTTTTCTTTTTCTTTTTTTTTGAGTTGGAGTCTCACTCTGTCGCCCAGATTGGAGTGCATTGGCCACTCCCGGCCACCGCAGCCTCGACCTGCTGGGCTCCGGCAATTCTTCCACCTCAGTCTTCCAAGTAGCTGGAACTACAGGCGCGCGCTACCACGCCTGGCTAATTTTTGATTTATTGTAGAGATGAGATCTCGCCAAGTTGCCCAGGTGGGTCTCGAACCCGCGGGCTCAGGCAATCCACTCACCTCAGCCTCCCAAAGGTGCAGCATTACAGGCTGAGCCACCGAGCCCGACTGATATACTCATTTTCTTTGGGTCAATACCCAGCAGTGGGATTCCTGGATCATATGGCACTTCTGTTTTTTATTTTTTGAGGAATCTCCATACTGTTTTCCATAATGACTGCCTAGTTTACATTTCCACCAATAGTGTGTAAGATTCCCATTTCTCCACATCCACACAAGCATTTGTTAGTTTTTGCTGGTTTTTGATGTTGTCTGTTTGTTTTAGATTCAGGGGATATATGTGCAGGTTTGTTACATGGGAATTAAAACTTAATCTTCTTTTGTAAATCTGCTTTCATCTCCGACATTTCATACTTAACACCATTCTCCCAGGTGCTTATGTCTGCTTCTTTTGTCTCATCTTTGGCATCTCACACTAAGTCCTGTCAATTCCACTTCTGAAATAGATCTGCAACATCTCTACTTTTTCTCTTATCTATAACCCTAGTCTAGGAATCATCTCTCATCTGGTCTTCTGCAAAGTCTCCCCAGAGTCCTGTCTCATTTACAATCCAATCAGCAACCAGGGGACACTTTTTAAAAACATAAATCCGGCCGGACTCCGTGGCTCAGCCTATAATCCCGCGCTTTGGGAGGCCGAGGTGAGTGAATTGCCCAAGCCCGCGGGTTCGAGACCTGCCTGGGCAACTTGGCGAAACCTCATCTCTACAATAAATCAAAACAAAAATTAGCTGGGTGTGGTAGCACGGGCCTGTAGTTCCAGCTACTTGGAAGGCTGAGGCAGAAGGATCACCGGAGCCCAGCAGGTCGAGGTTGTGGTGGCCGGGAGTGGCCACTGCACTCCAGTCTGGGCGACTGAGTGAGACTCCAACTGAAAAAAAAACAACAACGTAACTCCAACTGTCCTTTTTTAGCAGAGAATTCAGAAGGCTGTATGGAGAATGCCCTCCTAGGCTACTGGGATTCTTAGGGTTGGGGACCCCAGGTGCAGCAAGGGAGGAGCTGGAAGTCAACACAGGAGGCAGGGTCTATAAGAAGCCATTTCTCAGAGACCTGAACGGCAACCAGAAACAGTAGATCCCCACTGGACTGCAGGTGGATGGAAGGTGGGGCAGGAGACTGAAGAAACAAGAGTCCAGGAAGCACCTGCCCAGAAGGGATTACCCAGAACTTAAGAGCTGAATGCAGCCGGAGCAGAACCCACAGGAAGAGAGGCTTTGATGTCAGCCTAGACTTGGATTTCTAGATCAACTCCTCCATTCCCAAGGAGGCCACTTTCCTCATCTGTCAACTCAGATAATTGAGCAAGGAAAAGAAATTACATTTACAAAAGATCCTGGTATGCTCAATAAATGCTTTCAATCTGTATGCCTCAGAGTCTTTTCTTGTGATATTTATTACATTGCTGAAGCAATAGAAAATGCTAAGAGGCACCAAGGAGGAAAGAAGAATGGAAAGGAGGACGTTGTTTAGAAGATACTTCAGAGGAGAAATAGTATGGGTGGGAGCAGGCACTTTCTGAAACTTTGAAGAGATAGATGAACAAAGAGGGCTGTTTTTTGTTTTTTGTTTTGTTTTTGCCAGGCATAGTGGCTCATGCCTGTAATCCCAGCACTTTGGGAAGCCAAGGCAGGAGGATTGCTTGAGCCCTGCTTGGGCTACCAGGCGAGACCTTGTCTCTACAAAAAAATTAAAAAATTAGCCAGATGTGGTGGTGCATGCCTGTAGTTCTACCTACCT